GGACTCGATGGGCAGAAGTAGATACAGAGGCGGCCGCCAAGACTGCGAGGGAGGCTGAGAGAGAGAGAGAGACGTAGAGATGCGCAGGCAAACGGATGTACAGACTCAAAGCGTTTGCCTATTTTGTGGGTGGCACATGAGCATTCTTAAGGAGATTGAAGCAGAGCCACAAAGCCTTTGAGACAGAGAGACAGATAGGCAAAGAGAGATACATGTGTGTGCGTGTTTGTATGGGGGAAGAGAGAGGAATCGTGAGTAAGAGTCGTGAGAAGAGCGGAGAGACATGTAGCCATGAATACTTTTATATTCGACCAGTGCTCGAGTGGAGTTTGACTGCTCAAGCTTGGGCTTGACGGCCACATGTCGGATGGCTGATATTTGTGTGATGATGTGTTACTGTTCTGTGCGTCTGCTGGTGTACCTTTGCGTATATAAACAGTTTCCCACACCAACTTTCACATGTTTGTCCACATGGGCTGTGGCAACTTGCATGTGTGTGGATGCCTCCCTGTCTGACGTCAAATGGACCGTATAACTCCCAGATTGGGGCTAAGAGGGAGAGAGGAGGAAGGAATGCATATTTGTATTTGTATTTGTGTATGTGTGTATGTGTGAGAGTGAGAGAGAGAGCTATACGTATTGATCGGCTGTTTATTCTGGCTTACCGGGGTGGCGGGGCGTGAAGAGGGGCTGGGCTCGGACGAGGAGATGTTGGTAGCTAAGCGTTTAATTTCAACCAACCATTTGAGCAGCTATTTCGACGCAGGCAGATGCATCGTGTTAGGGGCGAACGAATACAATCGTCCAGGGAGTATGCAATGTCCCCTCATTCCTCTCCCTCTTGCTTTGGCCTCGTCTTCTTTCTAGGGGAGGGCATAGATTCGCCTCTGTACCCGTCGGGAGGGCTCACTTCCGTGACCAAATAACAACTCATGACCCCGATTGGACCACTGGGGTCAAGCGATCAGGACTTAGGCTTGACTTTTCGTGAGTTGAATCCAGCTCTCCGATCGCTCGGGTCTGCCAGGCTTGGCTGGTACAGTTCGCTTGGTTAAACCGACCTACCGACCGACCGACCGACCAACCGACCGACCGACCGGCCGGTTGGCAGGGCACTGAGGGCCGGGCGCTTCCATCTGCCTATTCTTCGTGCGTCCGGTCGGTGATAAGTGTACTCTTGCAAAGGCCACCTCCAGCCGTACCCGCGGGCCAATACATGCGACCCAATGTTGGCATGGTTCGGTTGCGAAACACGTCAGATCGATGCAGTCTAGGTGGTACAGCTTTGGCAAGAGTGACCGATACTCTTTCGGCGTCAGCCATTCGGCCGAGCTCAACTTGCCTTATTTGCAGTTGGCTTGTCTCGCAGTCGTCCAAGCATTCTGCTTAGATCAGCATCTATTTTACACGGTCTGGTGATACATTCGAGATCTATTTACTTGGTAGGCTATGCGGAATTCTGGAATAAAAATGGTGACCTAATGGTCACCGTGTCGAGATTATACACTGCACTAGCCGGGTTCCAGTTCAGCTGAGGATGGTGGTGAAACTAGTTCAGGACGTCCACTCCTGCTTGAACGAGAAGTCCTTTTGGAAAGCCGCGCTTTGTAAAATGCACTGGCCTACTAAACGATTTTGGGAAAATTCGCATTAAACGAAATAGAGTGAAGACAGTTCTAATGATAATCTAGAAGCCGAATTAGAAAGGACAAGTTAAAAAATGGATATAAAGATACGAAGAGTGATTGGGTTTTGGTGAATCTCATGAGATAACTTTCCATCTTGCATGAAGTGTGAATGAAGAAGATATTCATGGGTTGATCTCATCATAACACAACAGCTGATTTATGCTGTATTGCAGCCGTTTGACTTTAATACGATCTTCAGGCTGACGCCGTCCACGAGACATGTTTCCTTGTTTCGGATTAAAATGAGCTGAGCTCTCGTACACCATATTACGGACATAATCAGAGCTGGAATTTATGTTTGCGAAAGTCTCGCGTTGACACTAGATCATGCGGACTATCCACCTCTAGCTTACCTCGTATGAATACCCATAACTAAAAATGTGAATGAATAGTCATAGACGCGAGACTTATTCAAGAATGAGTTTAACATCTCATGATGCCCATTATATGAAGAACGAAAGCTCATTCTGTTTTCACCCGAAACGAGGAAGCATGTCTCATGGACGTGGCAGTAAAGCCAAATTGCTGCAGTACAACAGGAATCACCTTCGTTTTCTGTTGAGGTCAAACTACGAACTTATTAGATATGAAGAGCATGATATTATGACTTTTGTTTTGGTCGCAGTCTCATTTCGATGTATAGAAACGTCCTGAACTCGTTTTTAGTACTCATTAGTGTTGTCAGAGTGACATTTGCTCATTTTGCTCGTTGGACCGTGAACTTGGAACATCTCCAGTCGACAGTACAGTTGGCACCACTTTGATGAGTTGTAGCTTGGTACTGAGAATAGCACGACTCACTGACGATGCCGGCCAAACGTCTGGGAATATAGCAAATTCAGGCTCAGACACTGGGAATAAGGATAACTACTATAGCAGATGACTACGGACAAGGTGCCTCCAACTAGTTCACGCTGACGAAACGAGGTGAGACCATTTCGAAGATAAAAACTGTTAGCCCTCTGGGTCCTTAAAGGTCATTTAAATGGACAAGGTGGAAGTTCCTACAATAACTTGTGTAGGTCTCTGAATGTATTGGGTGTTCTCGTCAATCGAGGTTTGAAATTTGGATCTTGTTGGGTCAGATCACTAGCCCAACTCGATTCGAGTCCGGATCGTACACGTAATGTGGTGACACGCTAGCCGTAAACCCTAACCACAACCACAGGTGTCGATATAACTCTGGTTGTTTATTATTGATGCAAAGAAAACATTCTCCAGTGGGTCCATATAAATTTGTAAAGCAACCGTATAAGAAGCCTGATTAGGATTATTTCGTAATTGTATCCGTGGGCTTATGCGAAGAAGGTAAGTACGAGATTCCAGACAGAGTTGAGTGATTTAATGTGCAGACTGAAAGAGCCAACTGTTGAGCTCACATTCACTTCGATTAAAAGTGTATGGTATAAGGAGCTTAGAAGTTAGATCCCACCATAATACGATAGTAGATTCATATTAACCAATTGTGTATTGGCTTTACGGAAATGTCCGGGCGACACGGTTCTCGAATCAATCTCCTTCACTTGCTAGGCTTTAGCTATTATATGATGGACCTCTTCAGAGCATGATATCGTTTTTAAAACTAATTAAGAACCACCGGAATCAAATCCACACCATCATAGTGTTTACACCTTCAAAGAAGGATATAGTTGATGTGCTGCTGTGAAGACGACTCCTGAAAGCTTTCTGGTGAAGCCAATTGACGAGTCCCGTTCAGCAAACTCTTCCTTAGAAATAGCATAATGAATTGCATAAAATTATTAAGGGATTATTTGAGACCCAGCTTTGTTTCGTATTTGAAAGCAATATGTTAGTTTCATCGTTAATCAAAGCCTAGCATGTCGTGAAAGTTGTATCTGACCTGGGAATGGTAAAGGTTGCGGCCGAAACCACTGTCCGGCCAGGAGGAGAGAACATTTTGAAGGTAAGGCTGTGCGCAATCCAGCACTCACACCTTGCTTCACCTTAGGCAACCCAAAGGGTTTAGAGTTATCCTTCTGGACTACTCTAATTCAGGAAATCTCTTTAAGCCAACCTCTGCCCAATCAGTCTTTCGCCAGTCTACCTGCCAGAAATACAGATTTTTGTGAGGACTTAAATTTCGTATGAAAGTTCCTACTGAGGAAGAGGCCGATTTCACCATGAAACTACTGCTGATGCCCGTTTTACTGCAACCGCTTAGCTCTAATATGGCGTTCGGGTTGGCGCATTCATCAAAATATCCTACCTCATTTCGGGTGAAGATGGTCTGAGCATTCGCATGAGATATCAAAGCATAGACATCAATCAAAACTGGAGTCTATTATAGCAGAAA